GTGTGTGTGTGTGTGTGTGTGAGTGTGTGTGTGTGAGTGTGTGTGTGTGTGTGCGTGACAGAATCGGGCTGTAAGGGCTCACCTAACAGGATGATGATGCAGATGAGGATGGCGATGATCGCTCCGGTGCCCAGTCCAGCTGCGATGATCCGCTCCATGTCCACACAGTCTCCATGGTGATCACACTGACACACTTTGACCCTCAGGTAGGATGTGTTGGACATGGGCAAGTTGCCAGAGTCTGTTATTGTGATGGGAACCTCGTAGAGCCCGCTGGCCAGGAAGCCTATCCGCAGTCGAAGCTGGGCATGCTCACCTACGATGACACAGGGATGGATACAGATGAGTCGCTGTCCCCGACTCCTGGAGGTGGTTACAGGGAACGTTTCCAGCTGATCAACTATGGTAGCAAACTAACAACAAATGTTTTTACTTTTTTCCTTTGCAAAAAGCTTTCCACAGTAAATAAAGAGAAGAGTTTCATGCATCTTCCTTTTACCTACTTTCAAGGATCCAAACAGAACATTTCACCCGAGGCTTGAACTCATTTAGTGCTGTGTTACTGAACTACTTAAGTCAAAAGGAGAATAAAATGTTTATTTCTAAATAGTGCCTGCCACAAAGTGCAAGTGCTCTCCACACATTTGATTCAGAGTGCAGCAAGCAGGGGCTGACTGTGAGATGGAGCTCTTAGCTAAGAGGAGAAAGATTATGATTTTTCCTCTTTATATTGTTTTTCTTAACAGAGACCAAATGGTTTGAAAGCAGTGCTAACGGACAGTTTAATGTGCGAATCGCAAGTATCTCGATAAACTGCGCCATGTTTCCAAAGATGAAACGCTTGTTTTATACCTGAAATGTGTCACAAGAGTTTTAATCGCTGCACAAAATGTATTTATGTTCACTGGTCCAGAGCCTGATGGCTTTGAGTGGATTAATTATAGACAGGTCTATTCTAACTCCAGTCACCCACACATCATATACAACAGGCTTCTATTTATATAGTTGTTTTAAGTCTAGCTTTCATCATATTACACCAACATGTTCTACGACAACGCGAGCTAACGTTGGCGTTAGCATAACACAAACAAACAAGCAAACTTGACCCTCTATGATGCTACGTATGATAAGCTACACAGACACTTGGGTGGAGAGAACAAGTACACTTTACAGTCTGAAATGCTTTAGTTTGGTTTAGAGCTTCAGTTGCTGCTAACCAGCTAGCCCGCTTCTTCCTGTCTTACATTTCCTCCCTGTTAGCCGAGCAGGTCACTGTTGTGGTGAACTCCAGTTTCCTGTCCAGCTGTCAGATGGACTCTGACTCCACAGTGATGTACTGCAGCTGGTGACAGCTCTGTAGAGGTTGTAGTAGGTGGAAAAGCTGCAGAGCAACACAAGGACTGGAGCTGCAGACTGGAGCTGGAGCCACATCACTACTGTCTGTTTCTCAGTATAAATGTATGAACGACAAAAACATAAAAACTAAAAGAGCTCAGGCCCACACTGTAAAGTTTTCCTCAATGAACTGTTACAGATGTTTTCATACAGCTAATGATACGAGTCAAGAAGAGGCCGCAGAGGTGGAGAGAGATCAAGCACTGCAGGATGAGAAGCTCCACCTGAGCAGCGACCTGGCTGCACAATAATGACATCTACATCAGGTGTTACATCATCTAATGCCAGTCTTCAAACCCCGAGGCAGCAGCGCTGACATCTCTGTGACTCCAGCCTGACTTGGCCTAACATCACAGGGTGCCGCTCTGATTGCATGGACCTTTACTGGGCCTCATTATCATATGTAGAGAGACAACTGGACCATCGGGGCACCGAAAGAGCAAATGAATTTCTCAAGCTTATTGGAAAGTGATACTGTCATTATCTCACGATCTCTGACTGACACTGAGAGATTTGCACGACTTGAAATCCTGGAAGAATTCCTCCCACAGACAGACTGAATGAAAGTGCAATGAAAAACGGAAACATTATGCAGTACTGACCGTTGAGGCGATGCAGAGTCCAGTTGCGACGTACATCTGAGGGACGATTGGCCAGCTCGAAGGCGAAGGGTCCAGCATTGGGACTCAGGTCGGGGTCGCTGGCTGTGAGGTTGAGAGCATTGGGCTCCGGCCTCTCACACATTTCCACCTCCGGCGGGAACACGTGAGGCGCATTGTCATTTATGTCAGTCAGGTAAATCTGAAGGGTGCCTGTCCCACTGGCAGGGGGGGTACCTGCAAACCAGCACGGAAAGTAAATGAAGCAGTGGATGCATTTGCTTCCGCTTATCGCACAGAACATTTACTGCACCAGACGTGGCTAAAGTTCATCTCTATACGTGGTCCTGAGGTGTGATGCTGCAGGAGATGCTGCAAACTGAGACAAATTCAAGCTGAAATCTTAACATAAATTAGCTCTCCATTATCAGCCTATAAAGCTTTCTCAAAAAACAAAACTACACGTCAGGTGGTCTTCACAATACAATTTCTCTCTCACATATGTAGGCTCTATAAATGACTGCTTTATATTTCATCTATAGTGAAAGGTTTCCTTATCAACATGACGGCTGTATTCTGTATCTTTCCTTTGACTTGCAAGAGACACATATTGACTGTACTTTGAACCAAAATCTGCAGATTTTTTCATTTTCCTTTCCCACATGAAGCAAAGGAAACATGGTGGGAACAATTTCCTCTGCAAAGCCCAACTAAAACTAAATAATAGAAATATTCGTCACATAATAACTCTAATGATGCTTCCTGTAATAAAGCAGACATATTACTTTGCAGAGGACTGTGCTGGCGCATGCAGTTGAAAACAAAGTGCATGCAGCACTGCACATGTGCAGATTGTGCAGCAGTGAGAGGTGTTGAATCACCTGCATGTATATTCTCTCTTTGTGCCATTAAACTTCATTGTGAGCAAAAACAAATCAAACACATGAGTGAGCCTCAATGTTGGCCCGGCCGTGTTCTTTTATTACACTGCTGCTTAATGTGACACTGTGGGGAACAGGCCTCCACAAGTCCTTACTTCCAGTCTGACTAAACACTCCTCAACGATCCGCGATGCTCAGAGCAACGTGTGGAGACACATGACGATACGCCATTGTTTACTTTGATTAATCAGTGATTAAAAATGTACTGAACACAGCAGGAGCTACAGTGTGTTCAACAACAGCTGGTGGTCGTGCACATACGGTGACCACCAACACACTGCAGACTGCAGCACAAGCTTGTGTGTTTGTCTCTGTGTTTGGGCTTTTTGTGCATGTGTGTGTGTGTGTGTGTGTGAGACAAGGGCAGAGAAAGTGCTAAGACAGTCAGTTAGCAGGAAGCTGGAGCACAGCGGCTTCTCTGTGCAGAGGGGTCTATGGTGGACTGCATGGACTGAGCTGCTGCTGAATGACATTCCCCTTCAACAATTTCCCACTTTGAACAGAGAACCCTCTTTTCTCTCTTTTCTGTGGCTATAAAGAACAACTGTGATCAGAAACAAAAGGGAGACTTTGGAAATCGTGCACTAAATAGGCAGGAAAACATCTCCATTAGTAATCAATGAGAGTCCTGTGTCCAAAAGACCGTCTGTGTAGTCCTACAAGAGGTGAAGCATAATTGAATAAAGATGGAACAATCTGTTGCTCACAGGGGAAGATGTGTGTCCACCGCAGGACAAGGCCGAACTCTGTAAACCACGGGCAGCATGCTGAAGCAGTTTCACAGGCTCTGTATGTGACTGGGCATCCTGCTGGCCTGATGTTTGAGAAACAGTAACTATGATGAATCAAATACAAGATTACTTCAGCAAGAAGTGCCAAAACACGCGGTCTGTCCCTCAAGTGGCTTTAAAAGTGAATCAGTCCCCGTGTGAAACTAGCCAACTTTACAGCAGAAATAAACCTGTTTGTAGCCTGGGTTTGGATTTCCTCCATAAAACTGTGCTCTTCTAATAAATAATGCACCTGACTATATTAAAGTTTATTCTTCGACGTATTCATTCGGTTCGTGACAGATGGGTGCAGCTGATTTTCATGCTCTTTAACCTGTTGGCTAATCTGCTGATGCCCAGCTGCAGCCATCTGTGCCTATGTAGCAGTAGCTGGTGTTAGTCCAGTGAATCCACTGCCCTGTGCATAGACAACAGTTGCCCACAGTTCACCTGAAGAAACAGCTTCAGCTGCTTACACTTATTAGTGAGTATCCTCGTCACTGGGATGTACCCATGCAGCCTACTGAGGTCTTCCTCCATCTGGGAGAAATGTATATTCCCTGACCTGCTGGGAAAAACCGCCTCTGAGTACTGTGGTCGCTGTCACGTCGTTTGCATGGAACATCTGATTTATTCCCAAACACTCGCCAACTCTTCCCTGAGAGGTAACTGTGAACAGAAGCTGTGTGAACCAAATTCAAACCATTTTCACTCTAAACTTGAACATTTTTCATCTTTGGTTTTTGTGTTGCACCTTTCCCAGGAGTGTGTAGCAGTTAGTGAATGTTTGGACACAACCATGCAAACTTCCATGCAAACTAGATGCAAACTGCAGGCAACCAGAGCAATCATAAAGTTTTTGATGCAGCGCCCTCTTTGCAACCAAGTTTGCTTAAAAAGTGGGTCCTAGCTCTGGCATCAGTCTTTGTGACTGCTCCGACTACACCATCGAGGAACATAGCGTGCACTTCCTACATACTCAGTAGTGGGAACACTGGTTTTGGGGGGTTTGAGTGTGACAGACTTGTGCTACCGACTGTAGTTATCAAGATAAGGAAGATGGAAGCCTTTTTATACTAGCAGGTTAGTTATATTAGTGGTTTAACCACTGTAATGTTCTCCAGCAGTTATTTATTTTACACAATTCAACAAAACCATGTCATCAGTGATGCCAAAAACCTGCTATGTTAACAGTTTGTATCGTTAGTTTTGTTACTTAAGTATCAAACAGCAGCTCGTGGCTGTTTCCATGAAGCACTTCCTGCACCAGGAGCTGCACTGTGACACTGACTCCACAGTGAAGCAGCACTAGTGCAGTTAATGAAAGAGCACTGAGGCACAGTGAACACAATCCACCTCTGTATGTGGGGGATGGGTTACTGCCGGACAGCAGCACAGCCTGTGTGTCTCACCGTTATCAGATGCCATGAAGGTAACGTTGTAGTGGTTGTTCTTGATATATGGAGACTCTCGGTCAAGAATGGCGATGGTGGAAATCTGTCCGTTAGCCGGGTTAATCTCCAGCCAGTTGGCAGGGTCATACATCTTGGAGTACCTGTGTTCGGTGAGAGAGAGCCAGCATGAGAAGCCACCACAGAGAGGCCTCTTTATCTGCTTCCCTGGCTGCACGCCGAGCAGCCACTGGGAGCTGATGTATGGGGACTGCGGCACGCTCTCTCAAGGCAGCCACAACTCATTCATTTACTCTCAGGGATGAATTCAAACGTTAACTCTCTTAAAAACGATAAAGAACGACTGTTAGTGAAAGAATGCTATATTTACTGGAACTGGAAACAACCAAGGAGAGACCAATAAAAGCTCTTGCAAATTGTTGATGAAATGAATTCATGTAAGAGACTCGAGTCATGCATCTGCATTGCTGTTAGCATAAAGTCATCTTTCAAACACTGCACATGGATCAAACGGCACAGCTTCAACAAATGAAAACAGGTCAGCCAAAAAGTCACCGTGAAGCAGGCATGAAAGGGAACACGATCCATTTGGTATGTTCGTAACTGGCGAGATAAAACGGAGAGCAGCACAGATGACTAATCGAGGAGCACGCGCACAACAGAGAGCAACAAAAGCAAAAACGTTCTGCTGGCCCACTCCACACACAACTCGCTGTGTGTGTGTGTTTTTGTGAGCACAGTGTGCGTCCACTATTGGCTGTTGCTAGGCTACAAAGACTTCAGCACTACATTTAGAAACAAATAGTGGGATGTAAAAGAAAGAAGGATCGGGACAAAAGCATCAGTCCTGCAGGCTTTCTGCGCTCTGCTGTGCTGAGCGTTTGGATGAGTGCTGCAGCATCTGAAACCTGCATCTGCACTCATAACAAAATCTAGCTTTTATATGAAAACGGGGACTGCAAAGTGGCCTGAGATGGAAGATGCAAGTCTCTTAATGCGTTTAAAATGAAACCTGACCAGCAGAAGAAAATGAAAACTGTCACAGAGGAGGAGCGGCTGCTCGCGCCGACAATGGTCACATTCCTAATGCCTCACAAACCTCATGCTGAGAGAGTAACATAACGTCTGTCATGTGGAAACTCAGAGTTGTTGCTCGCTGAGCGCTACGCTGGCTGGTGCGCGTCACTGAGCAAGAGCTGTTTCAGAAAAGCTGTTAAAGTTGGTAAATCTTCACACAGTGTTCAACCTATAATTCTGAAATCTGCATCATCAAATTACCTCAGAGGTTTTGATTTCACACACAAAAACCACGTTTTCATATCTGTGTGGGGACACGATACTTTCTCTCCAAATGAACGCCTACGCCGAACCACAGCCTGACCCTGACACTACAACTAGGCCTTCAAACCGACAGGACGGCATGTTGTCCCACGAAGATATGCAAACACAGACACGCGTGTGCGAGGTCGAGATGATGGCTGTGCTTGGACTCTGGATGTATTTACAAGTAAAATGATTACTGAGGAAGAAGGTTAGAAGCAGGGCTGCGCCTCCTTTGTTCTCTCACATGAACACGCCCTCCACGTCTCTGCGACGACTATGTGAGCAGCAGCAGAGCAAACAGCAGCACAGACGTGCTGATTCAGTCTACGATTGTGTCCAACTGGAAACGTTCCAGGAATTGTGCACATTTTATAAATTCTCAGTTTCACACGAGACGCACTCGACGAATCTTCTCTAAAACAAGGTGAAGAATGAGCGCGTCAGGTTCTGCTTTAATCTCACTACAGCACGCCATCGACATGCAGACGTGCACTGAATAAATGTAGAAGAATACGTAAATGTTGGAGGGTGAATTACATTCTACTCAGATTTTAATTTCCTTTCAGTGGCACATTTTTCAATGACAGTCGCTGATTATTCTAATAGATGTGTGACTAATTTAAATAGTGAAAAGGCTCCACATATTTAAATGTTCTTCTTATCAAATTGCATTGAAGCATACATTCACGTCTCTACTCAAACCCGCTCAACAGTTTATTGTTGCATTACAAACTGAAATTATATATTGAAGGATTATTTTAGTGCTGTAGTTCGACCTCACTGGCACAAATGAAAGGTTTCTGAAGAGTTTCCAGGAGTTTCTGACCTGATAGTTTGTCTCATGTAGCGGTCGGGGTCCTGCGCAGTGAAAGTGGTGAGCATGGACCCGGCCGACAGACCCTCCTCCAGTCGCATGGATTTCGGGTTTGGGCGAAACTCCGGGCTCTCGTTCAGATCCAGGATTCGAACAGAGACGGTTGCCGTGGACTGACGAGGCAAGTGGATGCCGCGGACCAGCGTGACCTCGTTCTCCGCTTCCACAGTCAGCATGAAGGAACGGGTGCTCTCGTAATCTATGGGCTGCACAGACAAAGCGAAGGACGACAATGATGCCCGACGTCAAGGACATTCAGCACGTGCAACCTTAAGCATCATCTCATCGTGTTTCTCTGGAACATGTCAGACAGTATAAACATCGCGATCACAGGGATCTTCTGCTCTCTGGATGTTACAAACCGACCACACTGAGAGTCGAGCACAGCTGCTGCTTTTAGATCGCTCTGTGAGAACATTACTCGCCAGGCAAGTCTCGAGAGTTAGCATTTTATTCTCATGTGCATGTTGTGCACATCCAAACCACACCTTGACCACGGTGAGGAGGCCCTCGTTGGTGGTGGGGTCAGTGGGGATGGAGAAGCGTCCCGTGGGGTCCCCGGCGATGATGCGGTACACGGCGCTCCAGGCCGGAGTGTGAGGCTGGTCTTTGTCGGTCACGGTCAGGTTAGCCACGATCACGTTCACCCTGTTCTCGTGAACCTCTCCGAAGAACTGAAAGAGCAGAGACTGGATGACTCCACACTACACAAAGCTGTGGTGAACATCACAAACAAACAATGCTTCGCCACTGCAAACAGTTCCCTGTCACGCAGAGCCGAGCGCAGTATATCTGAGAATAAAGAGCACATCTCCCACAAACACCGCTCCTTCCTGTCCAGCCTGTTCAGCTTTACTGAGGAGGATAAACATATTGGATGTTTCATTGGCTTTTCACTCCTCCACCATCTGCCTGCTGCCAATAAAAGCTCAGAGAGCTTTAGTGTCGTTCAGACGACGCTGCCTCGCCCGTTTGCTGATGCAGAGCCAGCACGCTGTGTGTGTGTGCACCTACTGTCTCTGTGGTGAACTCTGGAGCATTGTCATTGACATCAGTGATCCTGATGACGGTGGTGGCAGTGTTGGAAAGGCCGTAGGTGGGATTCCCCTCCATGTCCGTGGCCTGGATGATCAGGGTGTACTGCGTGACTTTCTGGAATCACAGAACAGAAAGCGTCACTTATTCTGCAGACTGAAGTGTCCCGCTGCGCATTGTATGACATGAAATAAATCTAATTAAAACCGTTTGACAAGGGGACTGTCATTTTGTCTAATCACCATTACAGCTGATGATTTAGTCAGTGCTACTTAAAAATAATGTTCTGAGACATGATGACTGGTTCACACTCCCTGTGCTAATGTAAGACCGTTTCTGCTTTCCAGAGCACAATCATCCCATTTTAGGGCAGCCCACTGCTGATCCTTTTTCTAAAACTGATTGCTAATGCACGTCAGACCTTAATTACAGAAGCCGCTGCTCTATGACAACACTGTGACTGAGCTGCAGACCACCTGACAGAGACGATGTTTAGACATTTAAAAAGAATAAAGTGTAAAAAGTGATGGAGACTTTTAAGCTGCTGAGATCTTCACATGTACACTTCATTCGACCTCATCATGGCTTGTTGACCTTGTTTACTTCATCTGCCATTTTCTTCTTTGTGCAAAGTTGGATTTTTCTGCTATCTTTCAGGCTTTTAAAATCTTCGGTCGTTGTTTACGGCACATTTTTCCTTTTCTGTGATGATGCTTTTATTCTGTTTTTAATTGCTCTCTATTATTACGCTGTCTGTGTTATCTCATTATCAGCTCGTCAGTCACCTATGAAAGAGCAACCTGCACCAAAGCTGCCACACAAATAAAGTTTGGTTGATTGACTGTGGACAAAAGACGAGTGCAGATTACTTTGTCAGTTACTGCAGGCTTTTTTGTACTATAATAGCAGCTGCAGCTTTAGCGCTGATTGATGAATCCCCCGTGTGCCCAGATTCAGTTTGCCCTCCAGTTAAACTGTTTGTTAGTTTTGCTTCTTATATCAAACATGCAGATTTTGCAACTATGACTTTTAGCTATGATGGAACTACGATTCAAGATTTTATCACATCCAGACTGTTTCTGCTCCACGTTGGACTCAGTGAGGCACAAACATCACAAGAATTAGAGCTGGTTGGAGACGCAGCTGCGACCCTGCCTGGCTTCCTTACACCGGCTCCCAGAGCAGTTCACTGTTTGTGGGGCTTCCTTCTGAAATGCCTCCATTAGCTTATCGTGCTACATTTTATATATGTGTGTCATTTCAGCACTTTTCATGTTTGCATTTAGATGTTTGCTCCTCATTGTTGCATCTGAAGGTGCAGCTGCTGTGATTTGGTTACACTGACGATGACGGCTTCTGGTTCCAGACCATAGCTGTTGCAGCTTTTTGCCCCGTGCAGCTTGATTAGGTCAGAAGCTTCAGTTTAAAGTTCCAGTTGCAGCTCGGAAACACTGGAACAGCCTCCCCAGCAGTCACATCACAGAGAAAAACAGACCTCTGCTTCTTCTTTTGGAAACTTTTTGTTAACAACAATGTTTCAAATGCGACACAAAAATAGATAATAAATATATAACAGAAATATATACTCCACAACATGATAGAGCAAAAAAAAATGGTGTGAATTTGTTATAAGGGTTAATAAATGTCTCAGTTCCAAAAAATCTGAATTTTCTGGTTATGTTTCGATGGGTTGGGTCTTACAGGGTTAATAACTAATATCAGTGACGGTGGGTGTTACAGATAGAGGTATCTCAGCCATGCAGGTCTGGCTGTTGATAACTCAGCTCACCTGCTTTTATAAGGTAAACAGGGTTAATCTGACCTGCGAGTCACAGACGAGCTAAAATACAGCGCTGAGTGAGAACAGTAGGTACCTCTAAAAACAGACTTCATCAGTGACTATTAATGCTGGCGTGCAGATAGCACGGCCTCAGACAGATGGGATTCAGCTCTACTGACGTAAGACTTTAAAAAGCTGTCTTTATGCTGCAGGCTGGACACACACTCTCAGGCCGAGACGCAGCTGCTCCATATGGATTCAGATATGAGCGTTAGAAAATGTCCACATTTAACACACACACACCTCCCGATCAAGGCCTGCCGCCACAGTGATGATGTCACCAGTCTTGTTGTTAATGGTAAACATGTTGGAGGAGGGGCTCTGGGGATTCTGGGAAAGGATTTTATATCTCAGCATCCCGTTGGCAGTTTTTGGATCATCCTTGTCCACTGCTGTCACCGTCATCACGAAGGATCCTGCAGGGAAGCACACAGCAAGTCAGCACACATATGCCAGGGAAGGAATGATGTAATCCAAAGGTTGTGTGTGTGTGTGTGTGTGTGTGTCATGTTATTGTTTGCGTGTGTGTAGTCAGTGTGGTGTCTGTGTGTGTGTCTGAGTGTGTGTGTGTGTGTGTGTGTGTCAGTGTGTGCGTGTGTGTGTGTGTCTGTGTGTGTGTTGTGTGTGTGTCTGTGTGTGTGTGTGTGTGTGTGTGTCTGTGTGTGTGTCTGTATGTGTGTGCTGTGTGTGTGTCTGTGTGTGTGTGTGTCTGTGTGTGTCTGTGTGTGTGTGTTGTGTCTGTGTGTGTGTCTGTGTGTGTGTGTGTGTCTGTGTGTGTCTGTGTGTGTCTGTGTGTGTGTGTGTGTGTCTGTGTGTGTGTGTGTCTGTGTCTGTGTGTGTGTCTGTGTGTGTGTGTGTGTGTGTGTCTGTGTGTGTGTGTGTCTGTGTGTGTGTGTGTGTGTGTGTGTGTGTGTGTCTGTGTGTGTGTGTGTGTGTGTGTGTGTCTGTGTCTGTGTGTGTGTGTGTGTGTGTGTGTGTGTGTGTGTGTCTGTGTCTGTGTGTGTGTGTGTGTGTGTGTCTGTGTGTGTGTGTGTGTGTGTGTGTGTGTGTCTGTGTGTCTGTGTGTGTGTGTTGGTACCAGGCTTGGATCCCTCGGGCACGGAGCCATTAAAGATGCTGTGAGTGAACTCTGGTCTGTTGTCGTTCTGGTCGATGACATTAATGACGATGTCGATGGGGTTCTCCACCTGATTCCCATTCAGGTCCACTGCGTGGGCTCGCAACTATACACAGACACACAAACATGCACACACAACTTTTATTACAGACAGGTGAAGACGGTAATAAACTG